GCCAACTACCCACAGTATACTAGCAAATTACAAATACAGTACAAAAGGAAAAACATCATTTAGCAAAGATTATACTGAAGATTACTCGATACATTGTAATTGTAGTCAAGGGTAGCAGTGAGAAGTCTGGGATCTGTTTATGACGATTAGATAAGGGTATGGGCAATCCTAAAATGCTATGGGAAGGGAGGGAAACAGGTCCGTGACGTAGGAAGTGGTGAAGGAAGTAGTCAAGGCGAGCTGTCCGGAGTGTGGGAACTGTTTATGACGATTAGATAAGGGTATGGGCAATCCTAAAATGTTATGGGAAGGGAGGGAAACAGGTCCGTGACGTAGGAAGTGGTGAAGGAAGTAGTCAAGGCGAGTAGTCCGGAGCGTGGGAACTGTTCATGACGATTAGATAAGGGTATGGGCAATCCTAAAATGCTATGGGAAGGGAGGGAAACAGGTCCGCGACGTAGGAAGTGGTGAAGGAAGTAGTCAAGGCGAGTAGCCGGATTGTTGGAACTGTTTATGATGATTAGATTAAAGTATTTGCAATCCAAAAATGCAGGTCCGCGACGTAGGAAATGGTGTAGGACGTAGTAAAGACGAGCTGTCCGGAGTGTGGGAACTGTTAATAACGATTAGATTAAGGTATCTACAATCCTAAAGTGCTATGGAAATGGAGGGAAACAGGTCCATGACGTAGGAAATGGTGTAGGACGTAGTAAAGGCGAGCCGTGTGGAGTTTGGGAATGGATCTATGTGTCTCCAATACAGTACTAAGACTGCTTTCAGAGTGGACTGATGATTTTTCCCGAGCAAAGCTCGGTCCCCAGGTACTAATATATAATGTGATTTGAAATGGAAAAGTAAAACTATGAAACACCTATTAGCATGTTAGATTTTTGGAACTACCAACACGTTTACATTAAATTAATTGTGAGATTGTTGTTGTTAATTATGAGATTGTCAGTTTCGCTGTAACAAAACATCATTTTGACAAACACCAAAACAATTTCACCTCTGTTACTTTTTACAAACAAAAGTTGAACAAGCCTATTGTAGTGGTTTATTTTTGTCTGCTATGCGATCACTAGTTTCGTATGTATTCTGAAGCATTCACAGTTTTCTTGGTATTTTGATAGAGAATTACTGTATACAAATGAGAAACAGAAAATGTCCTACAATTTTATTGATGTTTTTCCTTTATTTAACACCATAGACAACAGACAACACTTCCAAATTTAATAGCAGACAATCAATTACTGGGGTAATTAAGTAATCAATAAACATCTACACATTTTGATTGCTCTTATGATCCACTTATTTATTCTTTATATAAATATACAAATCCATATTTTTGCACCATCTTAGGAATCAAAAACCTCCAACAATTGTATCATTTTTCATTGCAGTTTATTTGGCTAAATAGAGAGTTAATAAACCAATTATGTGTTTCTCGTAATTTAAATAATAACCTTTTACTGTAAGCCCTAAGTGGTGAGCTACTTAATTGAATAGCAATTGATTTAATTAAAAGTTTTTAACTAAAAGTTATTTAACTTAATGGGAATTTATTAAATAAACTATAACTAAGAGTAGTTTTACTAAATGGTGAGCAATATTTAACTAAATCAAGTGTGAATAACTAAATGCAAATAAATCAGGTTTGTTTGGCTAGGTTGAGATAAATAGCTAACAAGGGATATCTTGCACACCCAGAGTAAAACATTAGTGTTATTGGATTACGTGAACTAAAAGAACCCTAATCAATATTTAAGTGGTAAGAGCAGTAGAAAAGTGTAGATTGGCTAATCTATTAAGACCATCCGTTAGATGTCACAACTACTTTACTTACTGGTCAAACGTAACCCTGTAATCCTTTATATCTGGTGTCTGTATAGCGGAATCATATTATTTCATCAGAATATACTAATTGACGTTCCATTTTGCCACAAAGACACAGAGCTAACCTTTTAGTACCTTCTGTAATCCCGTACGTAGAAAAGTTTTTAGAGTATATTCTTTGACGCAAAATATTACATAAAAGAATAATTATTGTTTTCTTAGTCTTCACCAAAAATACAGCAGAAAACTAAAATGTTGTGAATTATATGTAGTTGGTAAGAGCAAATAAATCCATCACTTCAAATAGTCAAATAATTTTTCTTTGCTTGCTGTATACAATTTAGTAATATAGTCAGGACTTAAATTTGCAGCATCAATTTAATTTTTTTTCGTATTAATATCCATGAACCTAAACAAGTTTTAGCTGTATTTATTGAAGTTTCATATGATTTATTTTGTGATTTTTTATTCTCGACGCATAAGGTATAATGTATTGCCAATTATTCTGTAATTTGTTCATATTAATTCATTGTTATGTTGTTATCTTCCGTCTTGTTGTTTTCTATAGTTATTTTTCTCTACTAATGCGCTTAACTAACTTAGTTGTCAAATATAAATCCTGTATTTTTCCTGTAAAAAATGGTGAATTAGTTTATGAAAAAAAAAACCCAAGAGAAATCACCTCTGAGTGAAGTGTAGGCTTCCCAGTGAATAGAGGTTCTGTAAAATACAACACTGAAATAAAGACTTAATAATAAATCAAGGAAAGTCTGAGCTAATAAAATATTTACAGGAAGATGTGTATATCCTCGTTAGCTCCAAAAACGTACAATAATTTAAGGAAGAAATTATAACATTGTGTCATACTTTGATTTTAAAACTGTCAATAGTATTCTAACGTATGAAAATTATGAATAAAAAGTTTATGAAATAATCAGAAACTGTGTAATCATATTTGTTTTCAATTGACATTATACAAAGTCTCATTTAGTTTAGACAGCTTAGTGCATACAGACTAAACGGAACAAACTAGTCGTTATCGATAAAACTGTAGTCAGCGGCTAAAAGTTGTAAAAGCTTTTATACACTATGGGATAGTGTTGCTACAATCCCGTAAACCAGTCCTTGAGTGTCGCGGCCAGATATGTTTACAGTCACTCTGGAAGATACACATCAATAAACACAATTTTCCACGTAGTTTTCCTGATTCTCTGACGACAGACATGAAATAAAAGGAATCAGCAAACTAACACGGACTTCCTCCTTTTTGCTTGATGTTTAAAATTGAAAACAATAATACTTTTTGAGAAAAAGTATGTAAAACAATTAATTATTTTGGGTTATTTGAGGTGAGATTTATCAGCAAACTTCAGAAAATGACAATGACTTTTGAGCCGTTACATCGTTGGCAGTTGTGACATATTTTTAAGGATTACGCCGACTTTAACAAACTAAATATTAATAAACTCATAAAAGCCGTTTTGATCAAAAGTAGAATTTGTAATAATCTACACACACACATACACACCACCACCATCATTATCACGGATGCACATTGCACAGATATCACTTAAAAATTTTTCGTCCGTCGTTTCCAAAACGGACATTTTCACTCTAAACTGCAACTCAGAAATGTTTACTACATAAATACTATCTCTCAACATAATGTATTAGGAGATCAAGTAAAACTAATTTTTTTCTATCAAGCGATATAAGTTTAATCGTATCATTTCAACTCTTGTAACATAGTTATGGGAGAATGAGATATAATTGGTTTGAAACAGTAATAGATAAACAAAAGACCACTGGGTTATACAAGTGGATAGCAGTCACGTAAGCCAAGGGATAATTGAGTGATCTTAAACAAACGCTCTAATGACGTCGTACACAGCGTCAGAGCTACAGCGCTACAGCGCTCGCCAGTGTGACTTTAACCAATGAGGCTAATTATTTGTGATTGAATATACAGTATCAAATACAATTTATCTAATTAAACCATCCAAACATTTACCTATCCAGTTTAAGTTGTTTAGCTTATTTTTATTTAAACAGTTACAAATAATATAGTTTATCCTAAGGGTCTAAAATGACTCTTGTCGATCTACTCATGTTTGTTATTGAATTTTAGCAAGCGTACCCTTTTACCCGTGTGAGCTACATTTTTGTCGTACTACCACCATTCATTGAGCTAACTTCTTCACTAAACGTAAATGTCGTATATTATCTACCTTTAGCACAGAAATAACCCCTTCTAGTTTTGCTATTATGTACGATTGGTCGTTTCTGATACAATGTGTACTACCCCGCCCACACAAATAAATTCATATTACACAACATAAATTATAACTATTTTCTTCAGCTAAATTGGTCACATTTTAACAGTACGAATATTAGAATGGACACGGTATGGATCATAAAAAAATACAAATAACATAACTGGTCCAATAGTAACATGTTAATGTTAAACCTGTCAAAACGTCCAAACCAGCTGTTACAGCTATTAGTATAGACATTCCGGCCAGTGACGTCATTTGTTTATTTTCATGACCCATATGGTTTCCGTTCTAATATTCGCGCCAGTATGTAAATCAACAGCTGATGTCCTCAATTCCAGCTGATTGCTTTTCTCCCTGGGGAGTAAAGAAAACTATCGATGATTATGATCGAACACGATAATAAACACAAAAACGTTGTTGACGATCGCATAAAAGTTTTATACATTGGGACTATTTTTATCAGCAAACCCAGAGAACGGATTTTAGACATAAAACTATAGCTGACGTCCTCGACTAAATTTGTTTATTTTTTGCCCTAGGGAAAAAAACTACTTTAGACCCGCAAAGCGTTAAAAACCGCTTGTTTCACTAGTATAACGAAAATAGATCACTAGCTAGAAAGCTAGGAACAGGTCATTTGTTACTATTGGACCAGTTATGTTATTTGTATTTTTAATGCTCCTTCAAATTGTACCAACAATTTACTAATAACAAAGCTCTTCATTGACAAAATATGTGTAAAATTAAATAGAGGTTTTCAAATAAAAATGTAAAAATATTTTTTTAAGCGAAAGTTTTAATGATGAAACGTTGTTAAAAATATACCTCAAAGCCTAAGAAATCCGTAACAAACTTTCTCTTTCATTTTCATAATAACCAATTATTTTCCAGGTCATGGGGAGGAATCTCAGTGATCTGATCCAAGAAGAAGTGAGTATTTTTAAATTACAAGTTTTTAATAATCTACCCTTATTTTAAAACACCAAATAACAAACATTCCATAGAAAATGGTATTGAAAATTGTATTTTCCAACAACTGCTTTGAACTGCCTTTAAAGAAAGAAAGAAGTGCATTGCAGAAGTGCAATGTCTAGTAAAAGGACGATTTGCTTTAATAACAAAGAAACACATACGAATGTAAAAATATACATATAAATTATTTAATAAATTACTGTGTTGTATCAGTGAATTTTAAAAGTAGTAGAATTATAACTGATCTAATGTATTACCTGATAAAATGTCAATATTGATATAAAAAATAAAAATATTTTTCAAGGGTTATTTTTGTCTTAAACTATCCTTTTTAACATAAGGATAGTTAAAATTGGTAACATAAGGTTTTCTAAAGGGGTTCAAAGCAATCATGTGTATGTAGGTAGAATATATGTTCACTTTTAATAAAACCATAAATTCAGACACTACGACCGCAGAGACAGAAGATTCCGTGTGACAAATTTCTGTGAACTGACGTGAAGTGTACGTATGAAACCAACACGTTGAACTCACTGAGTGTGACGATCAATAGAGTAGCGTGTTAGCCACACGTTGACCTTCGAGTTTAAAATTAAATTCAATTAACGCACAACAGTAGCTGTAACTCATTTCTCAAGTTAAATATTGCTTAACTTGTTAACTAGCAATTTAACACTGAGGTTGCTATAAATGTTTTGTATAATTAAATAGTTTAATTTTTTATCGAAACAGTAGTAATTTAAGAGTTGATTTGTGATACATATTTTGCAATCTACTTTACCTACGACAGCTTTTCAAACTAGCCATTTCAGTTCAGTTCTTATAATTGAAAAGATTCACTTACCAGCATTGTTTACTTACTTAACAGCATTGTTGTTTTACTTTACAACACGATTAACGGACTAATCCGGTTCAAGGATTGATAGAAAAGAAGTAAAATTTTAATACTTCGAACGTCAAATTATCAGTTAGTTGTTAAGACTAATTTAATTGATAAAACAATGAGTGATTGTTTGGAACAATAAGTCATTAAATCACAATCAGTGGCTATGAGAAGTTATAAACGAAAACATAACCTCTCTTGAGAAGCTATGAGTGGTGATTTTAAGTAACGGTCGTGGGTAAAGTACTGTAGTGTACGCAACGTAATTAGTCTTAACGCGATCGTTGCGTAAACTACTATAAGAAAAAAAATATGTTTTTATATTGGTTTTAAGGTGTGTTATACGTTTACGATTTGGTATTTGTTAAGAGGATATTTAAATTACAATGGTATTGCGTGTTTTGCAAGCGTACACATTAATTATAAAGAAGGGAGCGTTATATTTATTGATGTTACACACAAACAGTTCACGGTATGTAAACAGCATTTTTGTACAATACGCCTTCGTTATAAAATCGAGCATAATTAAAATGTACACAAAAAATAATTTGAGTAAAAGCTATTCAAATAAAATTTTAAATCACAATATGAACCAGAGAAATTTAAGTTCTAATTATTTAATTATTTTTGTCGACGTCTTTTGCAGATAGGTACTGTTGGTTTTATAGTAAAAACTAATGAAAATTATTTACAAAATATTGCTGTTATTATTTACTTTGCTTTTTGTTTAACGGTATCGAGGACTTAAAGATCTTATAAACTTCCTTTACCTTCTTCTCAAGACCCTCGTAAGTTCTGTGTTAGACCTAATAAAATAAATTGTCTGCCATGACAGAAATACGTTAAAAAGAGACTTAATAATTATTGAAGCAGCCAGCGGGTGAGAAAATTGTGGGTTATTTATAATCCAGAACCTATAATACTGTAGACATTTTAAGATGAAAACATCACAAATCCAACATTTTCTGATAAAAATAAATATATTAGTGTTGTTTTGAAAACATGAAAACACAAACACAAACATATACAGAAAAATGACACGTCAACATGGAAAACAAGCAGATTTTGTAAAAAGACAAGTCCTTTTAAGAAGAGGGATGACACTCTTTTACACTCTGAGGCAGTTATGGAATAGTTTGGTTTATGAAAACTCCAAACAAAATAACGTTTACAAAATTGAGCATTTGTTGAACAATGAGACGAATGGGGAACTAATATCCATTGACATCTTTGTAATTTTTTTCTTTATACATTTTACACATGAACTCCCACTTTGTTTTTGTAAATGTTGCCTATAGTGTTTATATAATTAACTAACTGTTTGTGGCAGTGACTAGGATCCGAACCCACGACATCGCTGCCTTGGACCCGAAGTCCGTGACGCTACCAACTGAGCCACCGACTCACCTACACAGTGTCAATTTCCAAAGATGTGTAATCCAACTAAATTTATTTTCAACAGGATACCACTGAAGGACTGGTCGTTCCCCAGGAGGAGCAGTGTCTTAGGCAGTCCTCTAGGTTAGGATTAACTTGTCCAGCTACATGGGACTCCATACTGTGTTGGCCTTCAACTGACCCTGGGACTCTCGCCTCTCTACCTTGCTTCTCTGAACTTAACGGCATCAAGTACGACACCACCAGTGAGTAGCTGAGAGACTAAAAATAGTTAACCTGTGTCACTTCATCCAAGCTACTACCTTCCATTGTCAAATACATTCCAAATTACACTGAGTTGATGTAGATTGATGATTAAAATTGGGTAAAACCCGATCCGTCATATGGTGGTTGTGCGATGCAGTGTTTGGACTATGACAGTTACATCACTGGTTGTCCTTTGATAATGCAAAGTCATTCAGTTCCGTACTCAATGACTCTCTGGAGTAATGGAGTATGGCGTCCTGAGAACATTCAGTTTGTATTTTTCGTATTCTTGGAGGAATAGGAGGAACCCAATCTAGAGCATGTACTGTGCTGGGAAAAACACGAAGAACACATACGAAAACACATACGAAGAAAAAGCTGGATGTATTAGAATTTAACATTAAATAGGGTGTGGAGGAATGTCCATTTTGTTAATTTATTTTCCTTTTTAAGTTTTTGCTTCCCAAATTACTTAAAAATTCAACCGTACATGAGGTTACCAAAATACGTGGTTGCCAAAATAGTCTTTGTTAAAGACTTAATGGCAACCGATTTGACACACTTAAGGTGTCATTGTCAAGCCCTAAAATATACGGTATGCTAAAGGTCGAAAGAATGTTTTTAAAATTTACAAACAAAAAGGAACTCAGGCAGACAAACATTTTTATCTACGACTCTAATGTCTTTACATCCTGAACCCATATGCAATTGGTTGTATGGCCACCCACAACTTATTTTCTTAAAAACGTTTACCTGTGTTATTTTTTCGTTCGTATGATTTGAAGACTTTCTGACGACCTCCTACAAGCGACAACCACACGTCCTAGAGACACGTCCTTTCTGACACCATGTGTGTCGATACCGATAGACATTAAAACGAAAAATGATAACTTTCACAACAATGCATTTAATTTATATTCATTGCTCCCATTCTGAAGGTTGTGTAATATTTTAGTTATTCAATCAGTATCAAACCACATTTCCTCGGCCTCCTAATGACCACTCATCTTACCCTACTTCCATACTGATCCAGAGTGGATGTTTACAGAGAACGCGACCAGATGGTGCCACAGCTCAGGTGTTTGGGACAACTATACCGACTATACGGCTTGTCTCAGCCAACTAGAGTCTCCCTCCAACCCTTACTCAGGGGTAGAGATGGCTACCAACATCTACGCCCTGGGATACACCGTTTCTCTCGTAGCCCTAGGGATAGCCGTCTTCATATTCCTCTTCTTCAAGTACGGTAACAAATCGTGTTTGTAAATGTAAAATTTTTCACTTCCATTATTTTAAGACAGTGACACACACATAGGTGCGTATTTTAAGCTGGATATTTATGCAAGGAGAGGATAGAATGTAAGATGATCTGGGTAGCTCAGATGTTTCTTTAGTCAAGATAATTTGGGTAAACCATTATCAGGGAAATATGGATTAAGTTTCGAACCATTTAAATGCTACTGCATTCTCTCAGGATTAAACCGTCAACCATTTGATAGGAAGGCGAGCACTATAACCACTCAGCTACCCAGACAATCATAGCCAATCAGGTAAAGCTGAATGTTTATAACGGGTTTTAAACGTGAAGTACGAATTCTTTCAATGAAACTGATGAACCTGGCATGGAACAGTTTGTACGTTACCCCTTATGGTAAGCGATGTACGTTTTGAAAGGGAAGAATTAATGCTACTTGTAAGTACTGAGTTTTTCCTAGTCAACGGAAAATGCAATTATTCGTTACTATTCTGCAGTTTTTAAATTAATGAATCTCGATCCCTTTATAGGTATATAATACCCCCATAAAAACAAGGGTTTCGAGTTTCTAACAACCATAAAAACTCTTTTTGAACAGCCTTATAATGAACAGTTGTAGATTGAGGTAGGCTTATGATAGGTATACCATATCAAAGCTGGATAAAATATTCTTGGTTGGAAAGTGTAGTTGTATAACATAGTCTATATTCAGCGCGTGGGGGCGTATGAGTGACTCATCTACGTGTAATGATGTTATAGCTTCAATTACAATAATTCAATCGCGGCACTTGCATCGCACCCTCCCACTACAACATTATATACTTTGAATGGAATATTGAGCTAAAGCGTACTTGGAGTAAGCATGAACACGTTGTAAACTCTATGCGTTAACCTTTTGTTAAAGTTTCATTATTAACGTTCAAGCTGAGCCATTTGATTACTATATTTTTTATTTTTGAAAATAAAAACTACTCAGTTAAAATGTATTTTAGTAGCTAAAAAGTTTGCGCATTTCATAGTTGAAAATATGAAATAAAAATATTAACTAACAAAATCAAAATAACTAGATTGGAATTATGAATGTTAAACATGTACTCTCGTTTTAAAAGCAACAAAAAAGTTAATTTAAAGTCTAAAGTATGTGTTAGTTCTTTAGAAAAGTTTTTGGATTAGTTTACCCAGCGTTAATTATTGTTAATCATTAGACTTTTGACAAAAAATCGTCAAATTAAATTGGATTTTTACCGTACATAAGCGATTGCAAGACAACAAACAGAAAAAAAACAGGAAAGAATAAAATATCCTTAATATCCTTTTATTCGTGATCTACTTATTTGAGTTTGAATTTATAATTGGATTCTAAGCGTATGTTTTCAAACTATTTTATTTTTAATACTAACGCATATTATAGCTCAATCACCGAGTATGGACGTTTAGTTAATTGGTCAAATGGTCCCATTATCGGGCCTCAAAGTGACCTTTGATCATTAACACCCACCTTGGCACGGACCAATAGCAACGAACATACATCACAGGGACAGTAGTAACTCGTATTTGACTTTATAGAATTTTTTTTGTGAAATAATAAATACAGAACAATATTGTCCAAAACTTAGATTTCCTCCAATCTTTTCAATAATGACGCAAAATGTACCGATATTTTCTCAGAGACTTATCCATATTCATTTAAATAGTTTATTTTAGTAGCAATCATAGACACAAGAAGTATAATTGAGTCAATTATGTACTCTACCAGCGATGTAATTAAACTAACTAGATACATCGCTTGGAGGATGAAGAGCTTCGAGATAGAGTCTTACTTTGAAGTTGAAGCTAGGCTGCTTAACCCATGTCAGAAGCGTTTTCATTCTGTTTCGTCTATTATAATTAGTTTATTAATTGTTTAACGTAAGTATGCAGAATTTTTACCATAACATAAGCCCCCAAAATATGTTGAAGTACCTGTAACAAGCATTTGTGCTTACAGTTCCCATTTATCATGTGATTCGTCGTGTGTGCATATTTTATGCGTATATAAATCGACCATGCCTGAATTATCTAGAAGACATTCATTCATTGTTTCTTTAACACCTTATAATGGACGATTTTGAGACTAAAACTATAGTAGCGTCACAACTTAACACAAGGCCAGGCAAGGTCTCTTTGGGTTTCTTTTAAATAGTCACTTACTTCAAACAAGCTATACAAATCAATCATACGTAACATAAGTATATGTGTGAAACTATGGTACATATACACTACCATTATTGTGGAATCTCCCAGTAGACTGATCCAAGATTTATCAAATATCCCTCACCCTCAGTGGACCTTCCTGAGCTGACGGGAAACATGACACGTGAAATTCGTTGGCTCAATGAGGTGCTTCAGACTAACTTAGCCTTATTTTACAACTAAATACCGTGGCTATTCAGCTATTTGCTAATTGATCTTTTTGATATTGGTGTTTAAAAATATCCTTAAAATGTTTCCATATAATTTGTCATTTTGTTGTATTTAAGTAGCAATTATTTAAATGTTTGCCATTTTGAGAAGAATTCGTTTTGATGATTTTTTCGCAAACAGTTTATTGCCATTTTTAATTCGATACAAAATTTCACCTTTATAGTTTTAGAGATATACATTTAAAATACTTAAACACAAAAAAGGCAGACGATGCTAACGAAGCATTTTTGGAAGCAAATGTTGTACTAGATTTTCGTTTTATTTTGACCCATCTAACCATTTCTCTGAGACTATTTACTTACGGGACACCTTGTGTATGAATATATTTGTAAATAAATGCTTATACTCTACAATTATAAATATTAATAAACACATAATGTAAAATTTACTTTATAAAAGGGGAGCAACCTAGTCACCTTCATTTATTCTAGGATTACTAGACTTGAAGTAAACAGCAAAACAAGTTTTGAAAAATAATTATAAGTCTACTTAAATACAGTAATTCGATCTGCTTCTTTTTATTTTATAAATTAAAATGATTGTCTGGACGTCCATTGTGACAAATCACACTACACTGCCATGAGATAAATTATTACATTTCAGTTCCATCGTTTTTGTGTTCTTACAGACCGAAGTAATCAATAAAGTTTTTTTTTAAATAAAAGAATAAAGTAAATACAATCAAGAAACCACAAACATACTAATCTATTTACTCGCTACAGTCAACGTATTGCAACTAAACTAAACTAAGAGTCGCAATTATCAATAATACTAGAATAAACCTTTTCCTACCCAATGCATGGAAATGATCACATTGCAAGGCTTGTAAACAGTACGCAAAATAGCTTATTGCAGCTCTAGTGCGGTAAAGGATCATTCTCCCTAATCGTATGATTTCACAGTCATCGTTTCTAGACCAACTCTAATTCTATATTAGTGTAAGATGTATTTGTTATGTATTTTATTTAATTGTGTTCCAGAGATCTGCAGTGCTTGCGTAACAACATTCATACCAACCTGATGTGCACGTACATCCTAGCAGACTCCATGTGGATTCTCAACATGATACTGCAGGTCTGTAAGACCCAACCTAATATTCAATGCAATCTCAATATACCATTCGATAAAAGGGTCGTCCCTCTTTTACGGTGCACTGGGGTGATAAGGTCAGTTTAGTTATGTGTATGATAAAACAACTGATATTTCAGACCTCAAATATACGTCCTTAGAAGTGTCATACGTATTTTTATGTACTTAAGTTTATGATAAGGATAAAAAATAAGGTATACTTACTAAAATGTACCTTTTTAGAAACGCGTGAACAAATGGAACGAATACTGATTGATACCTTAATACATGTGTCTCTTACACAAATAACTCAATATTAAGATTTTTATTTTCGTAAATTTTATCTTGTATGATATTATCATAATTTGATATAACCTAACCTTAACCATCCTAACCCGCTGTGGCCGTTTTTTCAAAAGGCCCCTAATATAAGTGTAAGATTTAATCTTTTGTTAGATGACGAATTAAGATTTTAATAAAACAATATAGTTTTTATTTTCATGTAAGTGCGATTGTTTGGCCGTCATTTTAAATGAGTGTTATTTCTTAGTAACAACTTAAACTGTGATTTTTGGTTGATAGATTTCGATTAAATTAGTACATAAGTTTAAACTTTTCTAGAGAAGGAATGGGGCTAAAAATATTATTTTGAGTTGATTTAACTTATTTTTTACACAAACATTGATATTTTTCTATCTTCTTATATCTCTTGTTTGCTCCTATGCTGTTGTAATAAATAAACAAGCCATTGTTTATTTATTAATTTATTAACTCAAGCAAAATGCTTAAGTTCATCCGACTGATCATAGTATCGCTCTTAAAATAGTTGCAGGTTTTAAATGCATAATTTTGAAACAGTTTAGAACATACTTAGTTATGGTTATGTTTAAAACATTGACCGTTTGGGTTTAGATTAATAATTTGTTTTGTAAACAGTCTCCCCAATTTTAACTCAATTACTGAAGTTATTAGTACGTAGGAAAATACGAGAATATGAATATTTTGTCATATTCTATCAAAAAAAGATACACAATTCCCTTATTTTATTCAACTTTGAAATTTCGTCATAGGAACTATCTTTTGTATAATATAAAGTACTATTTATTAAGAAGAAAAATAGTACTTTCTCTCTTTCGATTTCAAGCTTCAAATCAACAGCCAAAGAAAAGTTGACAATCTTTCATAGTGAATTTCAAATTAGGGAAATTAACAATTATAACAGTTTAAACGTTTAGCACCAAGAAATCTGGGGGTTATCAATTAATTGAAGTGCAGATTTACTTATCATCACTGGAGTTGGGTTAATGGAGTTGGGAGCAATCAAAGAAAACTTTACTAATTAGGCTTGACATAAATCCTTTTTGCAGATCAAGACTTTTAAGTATCTCTTTTATACTACTTACAAGTTTAATAAAATAACACTATTTCTTACAGTATAAATATATTTAAAAAAATGAAAAAAATATATAAGTTAGTAATGTCGATGTTAAAATAGTAAAAGAAATATTTGATTTCTTTTCAAGTATATAAACATATACGCACAACGAATCGTTGCAACTAAAAAGTAATTAACATTAATTTTACTGTCTTGGACAAAAGTTCACATTGATTACAGCTCTCTATATAAAGTGGGCTGTAAATTAAGTTATTTGACATCCTACTCCTTTGTGTATTCTTTTAGATTCCGTTGTTTGGTCAAACTGAAACCCACAAAAATGTGTTTGATTAAGAACAATAAATGTAATTTTACTTTTAATCCTTTTTAGGGGTCTATCAACAACGGGTTGGCCGCTTGCACGATTTTCTTCTTGCTTCATTATTTCTATCTTACCAGCTTCTTTTGGATGTTCGTTGAAGGTGAGTTTTGATGAATAATACAACAACTCATACAATACTACTCAATTCAACTTAATACAACTAATTTTATAAAGGTGCCCTTTGATGATAAATCTGTGTATATAATTATACCATTAGGGTTTCTAATACTACGTGGATGTAATTTAATTTGAAGCATATTGTTGATGAGATGTAATTACAGACTAAATATTTCATTGAATAAAAAAAGATTTTTGAAATTTCTGTTTCATCCACCCATTTTTGATTTACGTAAAAGGTCTCTAGCTATAAAATCTTCGAAAATGAAAAATCGTATTCGAATTAACACAATAAAGAGGTAAATACTCACATGTCCATATAGGTTAAATTATAAGAAACTACCAACAATTTTACAGTATTCTGCTACAAATACATAAATATTTTAAATAATATTTGTAGAAAGTTTTTGAAGTGTGCTCAGTTAGGTAAGGTGATCTCAGGGATGTTGAGGCGTAAAATACGATTATCCCTCTATAATGCTCCACTTCGCAAAGCGATGTATTCGATCTTGATAAAACTGATTATAGAATATACTATCAATCTTTATGGTTATTTGTTATTTATTACATACGTACAGACCCAATGGAATACTCTAAACCAAATTTAAAACAGTTCAAATTAAATTTGACGTAAATAATTAATTAATTATAAGTTTGTTAAAAATACGGTGAGTGAGCAAAGCGTAGGAATATTGTAAAATAAAAGGCAAAATTTATTTTAAAACAATGATACAATGATATAAAAAACAATTATTAAATTGTATCATTGACTGCAATGATTGCACCCTGCTGGTTTATTTTCCTTTTGTTCCCTTTAGTGTTATCTAAAACGAATGTGCCGTTTGGAACAGTCTGATTGTAAAAAGGATACTACTATTCGTTATGTATGTTAATTTGCAATGGGCGTGTTGACGATAATGATCTGGGAACTATTGTGGGTGGCTGCTTCAAATTGTTATAGCGTATATAGTTAATATTTAAAATCTGTTTACACATTATATGAAACCATAAGAAACCAACAAATATCAATGAAAGTATTTAGGGTACTACTGAAAATATGTAATGCAAAATAAATTTTATAACCTTTAAGATAGTTTTATACATTTCGTGGAATAATATTTAAAACATCTAAGAATAGGTCACTAAAAGTAGTTTGAAATTGTAACTACTAACTATATTTTTACATCGTGTTAGCTTTTTGAGAGCTTTGGTATAACTTAAATAGCATTAATATTAAACCCCCTGCTTAATAATTTTATCATATTGTTTCAGGCCTTTATCTATACCTCCTGGTTGTACAAACATTCATAAGAGAGACTGTCCGGTTGAGGTTTTACGCAGCGATAGGTTGGGGTAAGTAATCTATCTTTTATAATTTGTTATATTTTTATCTTCTATATTTATAAAATGCAAATTATCACTCAACCGCTCACTGACTCACTGATCAGTTTATCTAAAATAGGCCTTAAACAAACTGTAAGAACTCAACACCTGGCGTGGGAATTTAAAAAAATTACTTATGATCTAGTTATGCAAAAAAAAACTTTTAAAGAGATTTCATCAGCGCTCTTCCCCATTGAAGAGGGGAACATATATAGTTTATTTTTATTTAACCTTTGGACAGCTTTTCTAATAAAAACCATATCGGGTCTTGAAACACTACATAGATAAATATTCCCGCCACAGCAAACCTGCTGACTAAGTGAAGTTCCAGTTGTCTGAATTGATTTTCAATTCAATTTAAATAACATTAGGTTTAACCTAGGTTTGTTGCTACAAGGAAACTAATAAAGTGTATTTTTAGTAAAATATAATAGCTTAGTATAAGATGAATAAATTTGCCAAATTTTATCAAAAACAAGCAAACTACAACATTTTACAATATTCTCCATATAAGAATAACATCGGAATTTTAAATTAACAATTTTTCGAGTTTTTTCCATTACAAATAACCATTTATTTTTAACAAATAACCGTCAATGTTTAAATAGCTTTGTTGGTTTTATAGGAACTCCTATGTTCATCGTATCAGCTTGGGGGATGGCAAAGAGTTTCCAAATCTCTGATCAAGAAGAAAATCAGGTGATTAAAATGCATTTGAATGACAAACAATTTGAAACAAACGGACGTGACTGTATTCAACAAGTGTTCTAATCTAGTTCAACTACAGCATTAAATGAAAACTAGAGTTTATATAGTTTTAAACAAAAACACTTTAATGATAGAAGATTTGTAGCACAGATTAAATGCTAAAGTGTTGTATTTTGTTACACTTTAATCAAAATCAGATTTAGATATAAGATGAAAGTAAATAAATTTTTTTTCCTTTAAAAACTACAGTTAAAAGAAAATTCTTAGGGGTCTAGAAGAAATAGAACAACATCTTTAAAATTTGAAAATAATAAAAAAATATGGAGAGTTAGGCTTTTTTAAACTAGCGATTTTCAATAAGAATAATAAGGTTATTTGAAAAGTAAATAAAAGGTTGAAGGAAGTAAATTATAGGTTCTATTATAGGAAACTAGAGGTTCAGAAAAAACAAGCTATTTTACATAATAAAATAACGTTTTAGTAAAGGTATACTATTTTTTGTGCTTAACAATAGTTAGCAAAATTATACTTGGGAAATAAGAAAATAAAGCTAGGAAAATCGAGTTTTTGGAAAGGAAAACCAAGGACTTTATAAAAGTAAATCTTAGGCGGTCTAGAAAAGAAAATTATTTAAAATAATGATAACCCAGGTTTAACGTACAAAATTAAGGGATTTTATAAAACAAAATAAGGGTTTTAATATTAAAAACTGAAAGTTACTTTTTTATAGAGCCATAGCAGTGGAGGAGGGTGTAGCTGGATGACGCCTCACCCCTACGACTGGATCTATCAAACTCCGGTGTTCACAGTGCTGGCTCTTAACTTGCTCTTCCTCATCCGCATCATGTGGGTATGTAGCATCATTTGTAGGCTTTAAACACATCTTTATGTGTTTAAAGCCTACAAGTGTTTAAAGCCTTTATGTGCATAAACTGATCCATCAAAACCATAATAAAGTGTTAATCAGACAAATGCAAATTCACTTGTAAAATCTTACAATAGCCTACTTGTAGGTGCTGATCACCAAGCTGAGGTCAGCCAACAACGCGGAGACTCAGCAGTATCGAAAGGCCAGCAAGGCGCTGATCGTGCTGATACCACTGCTGGGCATCACCTACATCCTGGTGATAGTAGGCCCCAGTCAAGGTGTCACTGCACACATGTACGCCGTGCTGCGAGCCGTCCTCCTCTCTACTCAGGTTAATATTTAATCTTTTATTAAATAGACAGTAGGTCTATATTTAATTAAAATGAAAGGCAAAAGAGAATCAAAATAAATCCATGTCCTACTCAACCCATCTAATCCTTCTCTTTCTTCCCCTCTCCTCCTCCATCTAGATCCTTGCTCCTTCTCTTCCTCCTACTCCTCTTTCTCCTACATACTAAAAACTCAAAGCAGTATAAAGCAAAACAGTTGTGGTGTTGTATGAGACTGTTTAAAAACCAGTATTAAACTTTTACAAGGGCTTTTAACACCTTTTGTACCGTGATCAGCTATGCAGAGCGTAAAGAAAACCACGATACCACAAAGCTATGCTTTGGTTGTGTTGCTAGCCTAGTGGTTAGCATCTCGGACTTCGGTGCGGGAGGGACGGGTTCAATCCCCGGCACATCCACAAAACTTTAATGGGTTTGGACCGTTTTCCCTTAAAAGTGTTTGAAATTACCTCATTACAAAAATGCCACTGGTGTAGATACGAGAGAAAAAGCTACATAGTATCTACTTAAACAATGATTATTGAACAGTCCAAGTCTTGGTACTTATTCTAATAAACTTAAATTTGCTCTTACAGGGACTAGCAGTGGCTCTCTTCTACTGTTTCTTCAACTCCGAGGTTCGGAATACCCTGAGGACACGCATGGATCGGTGGAACGACGCCCGAGAGCTCGGCACTGGACGGAGGTTCTCTAGGTTCAATTACACCAAGGACTGGTCTCCACACACCAGGACAGAGAGCATCCGGTAGTCATGAGCTTTTAACACTAAGTTTGTTGAGTAACATAAGGGCACTGAAAGATGGGAATGAGATGTGGATGGTGAATTTAAATGTCTTAAATAAAAAACCTAAACAATAACACGTTTATTATTAATTTACAATCGAAATTTAGGAAACTAAGCTGTTAAAAATAAAATAAGATAAAGTGGAAAATGATTTATTATTTAAGGCAACGTTAGGACATGTCCCTTTTCTTATGCTTAACATGACTAACCTATAAAGAAATAAAAGAATTTAAATTACCGAAGCAATAATGTAACTTAATCTAGTTTACACCTTCATACTTCATTATTATTTTACATTTCTGACAAAAACAGGTATAAGCATCCAAGTAGATTAAGAAAGCACATACTCCAAGAAGTGATCACGAAGCTCAAAATGTAATACAAAGCTCGTAATGTAATAACTCACGCACACACTCAACACTCTCAACAGCAATCGCGCAAAACATAATAGCCCTAGGCAAAGTCATTCAAGACCATCTGCTCAAAGTAGATTTATTAGTGCCGAAAATTAAAAAGGATATTTTAAATGGTGGATATGTTTTGAAATCTGTAATTACAATAGTAAGTGTGGGGTAATCGAAAATCATTTCACCATTTAAGATTTCAAGGGGTTCTCAAGGGTGTTATGAATAAAACCCGAATGAATTATACAATTAGGGTTTTATGCAATTATTTAGTGTAAACCATTCTCGTAACATAAATTATGGTTCCTAAAATGCATACTGACACCTTCTTTGAATTTTCATTCTAGTTTTACAACAACGTGGAACATATTCTCGTATGTTTATTTGTATGGATTATTTTCGACAATGCTCCAAATCAAAGTTTTAGAACTTTCGATGATAAGCTATAGTATTGATGGTCCATTAACATTTAGTTTAATTATTAAATCCATGAGTTATAATAATAAAGCTGTGGTAGATGGAGTTCCTGCAATGTCTATAGCCCAATTCTGTTTCAGCCTTTGCCAAACGGTGAATTCTGCCCCGGGAAGTTTTCGGAAGCGGGAGTCCACGGCGAGTGAGACCACCCTGATGACCGTGGTAGGGACGGGGTCTGGAAGAGTCAGCAATGGGTCTGTAGGAGCGACGTCTCTGGTCGTGCGAGCGTCCGGACCTCAGGGACAAGATGGCGGTGACAGCGTCTAGGAGATCTCTCCTGAAGAATTGCAGAGGAAGACCCAAACAAGACGAAGAGTAGGCATGAGAGTCGTCTCTCAGAAACGAAAACATAAGGGAGAATCCACTAAGGAGTTGGAAGACTTTTGTTGGCACCTACTGGAAGGGAAGCATCGATGTATTTTTGGGATTGGGTGGACTATGATGACTAGAGGACTGGACATATGCAAGGGGAACCTATAACACTAAGACTTGTAGTCATTGAGGGACGTAGATTCAAAGAAAGAATTTACCGAAAGACTGAAGGAAACTAACACATAAGAAGGGGAATCTTTCATCCAGGCTCGTGGCCAAATCAGAAAGTTCTACTGAATGCCAAAATAAATTCTTTTTACCATGCTAGAAGGAGTTAGAAGACAGAACCGAAGAAGTAGAGTGAGGGCTGATGGATGTTTAAACCACACTAAAGGACGTGTTTCCCAGGGTGTTCATTGTCTATGGAAGGTTTTCGAAGGCAATAACCCGAAGGAATGAGCAGAAAATTCTTTTAAAATGTTAAAGGACGTCAAACTACTCATGGGCACACACGCTAGATGACCGAGGGGAAGACGGTTCAGCAGACTCTTAATAGTAGTCACGCAGAGATCTGGAAATGTACAAGATAGGAATCCTAGAGTAAGTACTAAAAAGCTCCTAAGCATTTGGAAGGAAGAAAAAATTGCAGGCAACTTGAGGAATTGATGCAGGATATTCAGAAAGAGGAGTTACAACAAAGAAGAGGAAATCAAGAAAGGATCTACTTGACTATAGAAACATTTTTCCGACGTTCTATTGATAAACAAATGCAATATACTTAAGGGAAAATATGCCAAAAAATACTACTACTGCATTGCATAATATTTTTAACGATCATATTGAATATCAAGTTTATTGTAAATTACTGTAATGTTTTGTCATGGTTAATAGAAACCGACGAACGTGAAAAGTATACAGTATATTTTGGTATTGCTAACCTACTATTTTTAGAATGTATTTAACTTTCTAAATTAAACACATATATTATTTGAGTTTTAAAATTTTAAATATCTGCAGTTTTGAAACCAAACATGTTAAAAAATATTTTTTGTCAAAAAATGACGTGTCTTTTTGTTATTAATTTATACGCTGAATTTTAATTCAGAAAAAATCCATTATCAAGTTAAGAAATAGTTTTGAAAAAACAATATGGTGCCTGTACAGGTATCAGTTTATGAGTTATGGAATTTATAACGTGATTTTTCAGATTTACTTTGTTTCAGGAATAATTCCATAAAAGGTCGGTAGAGTTCAGGATTATTGACGATACAATTGTAACATATCTCGTAATGTAAACAAAATCCATTACATTATTTTAAGGATCAAACCATAGATAAAACTAGTCTATGATCAAACGTACTCGTATATACGCAATGAATATCCACGAAACAAAGAGGTTAGGTGAATCAATAAAGGTTATTGGGATTGGGAGTATAACTTTTTATTTTCCTAAATCGTATCTCTGCTCTTATTTTCCACGTATTCTTGTTGTTATTTATCGGATGAATCGTACTGACAGTATTTGTTTGCTTCACCGTGAAGATCAGTGTATTTCTGTTGTTGTATTTATTAATTAAAAAATACAAGATAAACTTCATATTAATGTCTAATATTAAAACTGCTAAAAACTATGTCTAGCTTAACGAATAACATTTTATATTTTTTTAAGAAATTGTATACGTTGACGATAGTTTTACACTGAATAAATACTATGCATTTGTGAACTGAATGGTATGCAATTATTCATTTTATTTTCTAACCCATATTCATCCAAGGTGCTGTATAAAGTAGCAAATGCTATGAGTTATAACTACTGCATAAATGGACACTATTGGCGCAAATCAAAGTATAACAGTAAATATTATTGTATGTTTGAAACTGCAGAATTCCTATTTTATAGATGCATGTAATGGATTGTATAAAAATGTCTTTCAAAACTCCAGCAAAGAACGATGAGTTTCAAGAGCCCTCTACACTTGACGTTGCGTCAACCGGTCAACCATAGATTTTCAGCGTCCATTAGTCTTGTCAATGACCAGAGACCACTTGTGGCTGTTGTTTGTCAACGTTACTCACTCAATGGCATTGTTGTAAAACTCTAGACAAGACATTAGGTCAACAAAAGTTTATTGTATAGCCATTACTAGCGTAGTTAATTTGTCAGGGATTTGCCCTGGTTTAGAGATCGTACTGTATCAATACATTGAAAGTTCACTGAAAAAGTTATATACAGGGGGTTGGTTGGTTTGTAGTTAATAAACGAGGAATTTTGGTGACTGTAAAGTAAACCTATCGAAAGACCCTGAGTAAATTACTAAAGGGGGGGTTTCACTTTGCTGATCTAATTTGCTGGGTTTTGCTCTTTGTGTCTAATCTAATTTGTTAAATCTAATTTGATAGTAAGTAGCGGTATCGCTACTTACACTTGATTTGCTATGGAACAGAAAACCTCTACCTTTAATAAGTGTAATTTTTTAAAGAGTTACAATTTTTCGGGAAATTTAAATAACAAAAAGAGGGTATAATACGGGGTATGTAATGATATAAAAATTATTGCATTCAATAGCAAGATGACTAACCACTATTGTTGTAGTACGAGCAATTATTGCTAAGATCAGCCTCAGCTGTCTGAGCTTGCTACTAAGCTGCGTTATAGCTACTGATGTTCCATTAGGACCACTGTTACTACATATGTTACTACTATAATCTCGCCTCAAGCCACATAATTATCCTATAATCGGATATTATGTGTTAATAAATGGTTAATACAATGAAACCATATGTGAACCATACGTGTGGGGTTAGTGAATTTCCAACAAACCACGTTTGTAGTAAATTATTTTTACTTTCTTTTTCTTCAACCTGACGAGAAAAATATTAGTTTCCTTAGTAGTTTCATTTTTATTAATATACATCTCAAACAAAGCCGTTTTCAGGGAGGCTTTAATTTTCAACAGTCATAGTAACCAACTATGGGAAGGTATAAATCTGAAATTATAAAAATCGGACAACAAGGCTTTTCTGTACGTGAATTTAAATTTTCGAAAATTTAACATGGGCCTTATGGGTTGATTGGTTGCCATGACAGCATTTTCAAGATAACAATTAAAAGGTAAACAAAAATGTCATAACATATGTTTATCGACAAATTATCTAAACTAACACGTTACAAGTGCAGAACAAAAGGGAAGGAAAATTGCATTGATACCGTTGAGTATAATTTGCTACAAAATGAATAACCAATTAGGCAACTGCACCTTTGACCTTAGATACTACTAATAAGAATAAGCATATTATTGATGTGATTCAAATATATTATAGTCTTTAAAAAATGCAAACAGACATCCCATTGGCCGTACGTGGACTTTGGAAAAGTATTGGATTAATATGCTTGCTCCACTCAATATTGCAAGCAGACAAACTTCATTGTACACCTACTTATAAAATGTAATCTTATTATGTCATCTTCCTACTTAAAAAATGGAAATCGATGTTTTTATCTAATCCAATAACCATCCCTAGCAACAAGACTGTATAACTCTACAATATATGAAATGCATTTCGAGGAATGTTAAATTTTATTTGATAAGTGAGGGGTGATAGGAGGAATAACAACATAAAACATATAATGTACAATAAACATAAACGCATTAAGTAACTGGTCCAAATCCTACAACATCATTTGTATATTATGTTTATGATCCATACCGTTTCTGTTCTAGTCTTCGTAGGTGACAGTTTAACAATTCCTGTAAAAAGATCGTAAAACTATAATTGTGGTCGGAAACGATTACTCAGAGGTGAAGGTCAATACTAGCCATTGCATGTCACAACACAACCGGGGTATCGAATAATCACATTACCGTTGACCGCTACCTGCATTGTACTTCTGTGACCTACAAGTCAACTTTAATCTATACTTAGTACATTAGGGGGTTTGATGCTGGCACCTCCCTTGATGTTTCTAACAATATTTGTATTATGAAATAGACTTTAATATTGTTTAGATTTGTGTTACTTAGTTTTCAACGGAAAACAAAATATGTTTACATGGGATGATGGTAAGAGTAGAACGTTACAAGATTGTGGCAAGTATGAAAAGACGGGTTGCCAATATAAGTATAGAAAACTATATATAATGAATAGCCTATGCTAATAAGGGAAGCTAGCAATGTATTTAGAGAAATATACAGTAGATATTCGGAAAGTGAAAACATTGCCAATGGAGACAGATAAAATTAATATGAAGTCGATCCTGTGAAATTACAAATTCCCCCTGTCTTTCCCTGAAGCTATTAACTAAAACGACATCAGGAAACATTGTTTTTTTCGAATCGTATACTAAAACTACTGTACTGATAAAAGTATCTATAGCTTACGAAGGATTTTTCACGATTAGTATTAATTCAATGGCAAACCTACATTTTCAGATGTACTCTACATCTGAATGTCTGTTAGAAGTGGTCAGTTATGATAAATTGAATTTTAGTACTCTACTAAAATTCAGTTTATCATAACTGACCACTTCTAACAGACCCATTAAAATTTTTAGAACCTTTAGTTAAAACACAAGATATATACAGTACTAAAATATATGTTCAAAAATTCTATCATTGAGAAAGCCCAAAAGTAAGCAATGTATACATTGAAATGAGTTAGAGTATGTATGTAAACTGTGAGCTATGTATACATCACGAATACTAGAACAAATACAGTATGGATCATAAACATAAACAAATGCTGTGACTGGCCCAAAGTTACCATTTTTTATCATTGCTTAAATTAAACTGTCTAAGCCATATGTTAATGTTATAGTTTAATGACTATAACCATGTATAACAATGTTAATGTTATGGTTATAGGTTCGATTCGGACCAGTTACATCATTTGTTTATGTTTGATTCATACCGCTTTCTGTTCTAATATTCACATCATACATTTTTCTTCGAGTTAGACAAGAAAGTCTTCTTTTTAGACAGAAGAAAGTGAGCAAACAACTCGAAGACCTATGGACGCTAGGTCAACAGTGAGTCTCATAATGTGTCTGGTGAAGATAGTTTGTCGATCAGCCATACATTATGTGACGAATCAAGAGACAAACGAAAAATGTCGTAAAAATACGTCAGACTATCAAAATCATTATTATTTACAATTAGATTAAAACGACAAAACCGTCCACCTTATATTGCACGATGTTTGGCAGTAAATTTTAACTTGGCCGTTTCTTAATTCATCCCTACATTGCCATCCCTACCAGCACAAGTCAATGAGACATTTTTTTGTAGTTTGGCTTTTATTGGTCACTTTATCGACGTTATGGCTTACTAGAATGTTTTACATGTAATAGAGGCTATGTACAACACGATGGACTTGTAAATTGTTAAAATAATACGAGTAATCTTAAGAGACACAATAAAATATAGAAAGCAGCTTAATGCATCCTAATGATTGTATTCCATATAATGTAACACTGTAAAATAGTCCCGTAAATATACATTTCTTTGGGATCTCGTTTTTTTGTGTATATCAAACTATCTAGCTTACATAAAAAATGGCATAAGCTATTTACCCGTAAAACCACGTCTTCATTGCAAAAAGTGTGTTAAGCACAGTTTAAGTTTTAGTACTGTAATACGTATTTTAAATATTATAGGTTCATTGACGAAGTCTTCTTAGAGCTAATTTTACTGGTAAATCTAGTTAAAAATATAACAAACCTATCAATTTAATTACTAAACTCACGTAAAAGTCACTAAGGAAATACTCAGTACCGATAGGTATCAGTGGTTTTTTAATAAATAATGTCGAAATATTATTTGAAATCGAGACTTCTTAAGTTTAGTCAAAGTCCTTATTCATGTTTACTAATATGAAAATTCACATCACTCTACATAAATCGATATAGAATTTCGCTAAAACTAAGTTTAGGGAATCATGGCTATTGGAGTAGAGGAAGGACTCTTACTAATCTTGTCGTCGAAATCGATCACATCTCTGCCATTCTTCGCTCAAGAGGTTCATTGTTTCATTGTTTCAGAATGTAGCATGCATCATGTCATAGAGATGCTTCCTAAAAGATTCATATGCAATATTTATTAACACGTTAAAAGTATTTATTTTAGAAAATTGTTATTTTGCACACAGCGTAAAGAATATTTAAATCAACACAGAACTAGAAATAGTTGTAGCATAGAATCCTAAAATTTAAAAGAATAGAATAAAAATATAAATAGAAGAATAGGCTAGAATATAATGCAATAGAATAAGAGTGTTAAATATAGGCTACATCCCCACTTACTGAAAATGTCCGGGGTATGCAAATTTGGTTGTCGATACTATCATGTCGATATTATTGTCAGACTTTAACCTTCAACATAAATTATCAATCAATATAGTGCAAAGAGATGCATAGAGGGGCTATGCCTAGGCAACATAAGCTTAAAAATACAGTTTTAATCCTTAGTATATTACAATAAGAATACTCATTTTTATTTCCATTTGCGATTTTTTCATGAATATCAACTCATTATATGTAATTAAATTTCAAACAAAGCCATTCATTGTAATTGTTTTCAGAATTCGTGCCAGGTAATATTTGTGGTTTCAGTTTGCAAAAGTTTAACCGAAACACGAGAGGCTGTGTCAGAAGTAACCAAGTTAGGGTAATATGATCAGTAACATGGTTACAAATTG